GGGGGGATACCTTACAGCATGAAGATCTCTTGTGATCTCATTGTTTGAAGAACATTGGGATCGTTGTCTGTGGAATATGTGTAAAAGACCGCTCTGATTTCATAATCTATTATTGTATTTTACATGTCTGTCACATTATAGAACAACTCTTATTTCATAATCTATTATTATATTGTCTGGGTGTAGGGTGTCTGATGACGTTCTGGGTGGTTTAGAATCTGTATTATGGGTGAGCTGGATACATTTCTAAATTTCATATTCTCCATGTACATGCCTATCTTTTTCCACAATGATAAACCATGCTTATAAGTAGCATTTCTCTGGGCATACTGAAAAGAGGAGCTTATGTTAAGGCCCACTAGATTAATCTTGCCGATTCCGCATTGTTTATTCGCCAGTAGCCTGTAATACCCAATGTTCACAACACGTAGAAATCATCGCTCTGAGTCGGGCTTTAAAAGTTTTTCTTTCCTGAAGGAGCAAAAACTGCCATTTTCACACAATACGACTGATTTCAAGTAAATTAGACTGTGACCTTCAAATCCAAAAGTTTTGTTTTTTAAGGCCGTGAGTTGAATCAGCTGTTTCGTGCCAAAATGATAGCTTTATCTCCATTCATGAAGGAACATTTTGCTGGCCTGGACTCAATCTAATAAATCTGACTCGCAGTGTGCACTGGGTATAAGACTCTCCGCTCCGATTCCATCAACCTGGCCTGCAGGGTCGAATAATGATATAAACCCTTCATTACTTCCTAGCAACAAAAAAACGTAATGTTAAGGATTTCGTCTCATGAACTTCCTAGTCACTTGCCAGATCTATTCTGGTAGCGTCATATTATTAGGATGTTTATTAGAACCTTTGTGAACGCACACCCACCTGACTCAAGACGCCCTCCGCTCGAGAACAATCAGATCACTCCAGTCCCAATTTCGCAATACAAAACCAACCACCCACTCTAAATTGCATGCCCGTGCCCAAATCAAACACTACCCTGACACTGGTATTGATCATAAACGACATGGACAAAACAAGCTACAACCCAATATTATGTTGTGGACACAGGATTTGAAGCAGATTCAGACAGGAAGGCTTCACCTTTCTGAACTTTGGCTTAAATAGTAATATGGAGAGTGTGTTTACAATTCCGCGGAGTGGGAGGAGGGGGATGTAGGGGGAGGGTCGAAAGACAAGATTGATATGTGGTTCAAACATAATATTTGAATGATGTGATAGGCTTGACACAAAGCTAAAGTAGACTGTAGGAAGGGAGAGAGAAAAGAGGTCCCCTATTCTATGCAACTCCAACCAGCACCACTGATAAGCCCTACTTTTTTATGGAACCTCTGTTGTATCTTTCTATCAACCTTCACCTTTATACCGGTACTTAGCTACCGAATACGTGTCTACATAATATTATGTGCTTCTTGAGGACTCCAGTGGCAAAGTAGTTAATGAAGACTGACTCCCACATACTGGCAAGCAATGACGACAACATGACGTTTACATGAGTGAATCCTTGAACAAAAGACGTTGTTAACACCATTTCGAATACAATGGCGGCGGTCAATACGGAAATTCTACAGTTTCACTTCGTAATGTAAAATCTGATACTCTGACAACTATAAATCAAATCTCCCTATAAGCGTTAACCCATTTGTTTCTTGAGTTTGTTTTCTATTACCTTTCCACCAGAAATGACCCAACAAAACACCTTGCTAACGAGACAAGGTAAGTACAGTCAAAGAGAAATGCGAAACTGTACAGTATTGTACTTTCTGCCTGGCCAGACCACCGGTAAAGAAATCGAATCGAGCGGGAAGTAGAAATATAACTCATAGTCTGGACAAAAGACACCCCC